AGGAATGGCAATGGTGGACACCATCATGTACTTGGACTTCTCGCCAGTGCCAACATCATCACCAACCGGCATCGGTCCAACAATGTCCATGGTCAGGCAATAGCTCGCCCGATCTCCCGCCGTGCGACGGTGATGTCCATCAGAGCCCATCATCTCCAAGCACCGTCTGCAATCCCTTCTGTAGGGTCGGTGCTGATTCTGCACATGACGCTTCCATGCGCTCATGTCCATCTTCTTCACCTCCATCTGCTCGGCCATCTCCTTGATGAGGTGTGCACGGATTTTCAAGGACTCCTGGATCGCTGCCACCAAGCCTGGAGACCACGCCGCCCATGTCTTTGAGCACCTGATGCGATCCTGAAGCTCTGGTCCAACGCCTTCGGTGGATCCACCTCCTCGAAGACCATTCAACTGCCCCATTCCAGGCAGATTCGTGACCAAACTGGTCGGTTTTCTCCTTTCATGACCCGTTCGCCCTTGATCAAAGGACACCAACTCCATGTTGTGCTCCTCCACCAAAGTTCGAATCTCAGGGAACTCCAAAAAGGAAGGAAGTTCTCGTCCTTCTTCTTCAGGCAGGTAGGATTCAGGGTCTTGAGGAGTTTCAAACAGGAATCCAGTCTCGTAGCCCTGCTCTCCCCTCACCTGCTCCGATTTCAGCCACAAGCCCACCTGCTTCAAAAGGAGGCATGTGTCGTTTTCCACAAGTTCAACCTCCGTGGGATCCAGCCCATCAAGGCCATAACGCTGAGCTCCACGGCCACGTACTTGGCGAGGTCCAGGAGGCCCATCACGTAGGCGCGAAACAGACCGACAAGGTGGCCCACCCAAAATCAGCTTGATGAGGCCCTTGTTGGCCAGCCCCCACAAATAGTTCCACACTGCAGGCCTGTGCAAATCGTACTGCGAACCAAGGCAAGTGTCGACGCAAAGCCACTCCAACCCGCCCACATCGCAGTCCTTCCATTTTCTCACATTGGGGCCACAAAAGAGATGAAGGGCCACGCCTTTCTTCTGATGTGCCCGGCGTTGATGCCGATTCCAGGGCAATGCAGCGGGGTCCCAAGGTTCAACTGAGCCCACCAACTTCCTGATGATGCGGTCAGGCACCTCCGGGAAATTCTCCTGCCACCACTTGAACTCGTTCACATCCACATCCAGTGAAGATCCATCAACCTTCTCCATTTCCTTCAGCAGCAAAAGAGCATCGCCTCGATCCATGATAGGGCATCCACCTCTAAGAGAACAAGCAATCACTCCTCTGGAAGGGTGGAAGATCCGGCAACCTTTCGACGTCCACTCAATCTTGAAGCCCATCGCCACAAGTCGGTGAAGCGGCACAATCGGCTCCACATCCTCCAAGCTGAGCAGCGTGCGGTGGCTTCTGTGGCGATACAACCATGTCGACCCCGAAGCAAGCTCCACCTGCACAGGTTCCAAATCCTTCCTTTCCCAAACCTCAGCTGTCCGCAAGCCATGAGTCGCCCCTCCATCCAAAAGTGCGACCAGTTGATGATCCTCACATGGGCTGTAGTTGATCTGCTTGACCTTCATCGACTTCATTGATCGAAGGGTCTTCAGCAGCACTGTCGCCTCGTCAATCAGCGAGGAAGTAGGGTCAGAGCTCTGACTCCCTGCACTCTGGTTCCTCGTCTCCTCCGCTGATGGTGTAGTCGTCTTCAAGGACATAGGGCTCGGCAGTGAAGAAGTTTCGGAGCCATTCCCAACCACCACGTCGTCCTTGGCCTTCTCAGGTGAATCCTTCTCCTTGGGACCGCCCTTGACCTTTGAGACCTTTGGTGTCCTTTGAGAACCTCCATCCTTCTGCCGATAGGGGCAATCTTTCTTCATGTGCCCTTCCGCTGAACATCCATAGCATCGTCCATCCTTGTTGATGCCGTCCCAGCTGTGAGAGTACGTGCATGACTCACCACGTCGGCAGCCACCAGTGGTACCCCAAAACTTGCAAACTGGCTTCCCCTTTTCATCCAAACCACTTCCACCCAAAGCAACTGCCTTCACCGCAGCTGGAGCAGCAGCTCCTGTCGAAGAGCTCGTTGGTGGCACCGTCGTGGATGAAGGTTTCGGCCCAGCCAACATCAAACTCAAATCCTCTGCCTCCGCCTGCAAGAACTCCGCATACTCCTGAACAGCATGGAGTAGAAGTCTTTGATCAACTTGAAGCTCCTGGCGAACCGACGCCAGTCTGTAGGCTACCTGTGCACCTCCTTGTTTCCCCACAGCGTCCGACATCCGTCCAAGGACCTGCATCAAAATCAAGGGGTCCGGGATCGCCACCTTCAGCTCCAAAGCTCTGGACACCCACCTCCTCCAAAGGCGAATCGTCCCAAGCACGTCATGAATCGTTGTGCCAATTCGGATCTCCGTCAGGGACTTCAGAAGTGATGTCCTTTCTGCACCACCACCCGGCTGGAAAACCACAAAGAGCCTGTAGAGGATGGCAACCGTGGACACGTTGCGAGCTCCCACAATGTCGCGTCGAAGAGCTTCAGGAAGGATGCTCAGCAACATCGCAATCCCCCGCTGTTCCAACCTCATGTACCCTGGGTCCACCTCCACCTGCGGCTTCAACCTCAAGCGCTCCAGCGGAGTGGATTCCAACCATCTTCCATAAAAATCCTCTGCAGCTGCCACTGATCTCTCCCACCAGCCCTTCGCTGAAATGCCCAAGTCAGACATCAAGGGGAAGGCCATCGTCATCCAATCTCCAAATTGGAGGGCAGCACCATCCGATCCCACCACAGGCAAAGCAGGAAGTTCAAGATGACAAAGAGATTCTGAAACAGTTGGACCCACCGTCCCATCAAAACCAATCCGAACTGAAGTCAATCCTGGTGGAGGTTCTGGACCTTGAGGTGCACCTCGAGCTCGACCATCTGCAGGAGCACCTCCACTTCCATTTGGCACCTTCTGCATGCCCTGTGAACTGGAAGCAGTGTGATAGGACTCCGCCTCGGTCTTCTCGGCCACTCCAAGCTTCTTGACCTCCCTTGCAAAAGCTTCTTCGGCTTCACGCAAGCACTTCGCTTTGAGCTTCTCGACCTCTGCATCGAAGCTCTGCACACCATTGTTGCCGCTGGCTGCACCGTGATCACCTTGGCTGTGAACTGCACGCTGCACCCCATCGCTCCAAAAAGGATTCACTCCCTGACTGGCCCCTTGAGCTGGAGTTCCATAGGGATCAAGAACCCGAGGCTCCACTCCGTGCCTGTCAGGCTGCCCACTTCCAGGCGTCTTCAAACCCTCATTCCGTCCTGAACCACTTGCAACACGGCCATCAAGATGTCCTGAACGTTCCCCTTCTGCACCACGAGAACCCTGCACAGCGCCAGGCGATGCAAAAAGCAATGGACCCCCTCTGGTGTTAGGAACGACTCCTTGTCTGGCTCCAGAATCGCTTCCCCCAAGAAGAGGACCAAGTAGACCTTGCTTAGGAACTGGACGTCCAAGTGCTTGTTGCAATAGTCCAAAAGAATGCCGAACCGCATCTTGAAGAGCTCCCAATCCCATCGCCTCTGCCCTGGGGTCACTCAGCGCATCTGGCACTGGCTGTGGTCCCATCACTGGACCCTGCAGCTGCCCCATCAGTTGGCTCGACTGAGCTCTCCCTCCTGCCACTTCCAACCGCTTCACACCTGGCCCAGCTGGAAGGGAAACAGCTCGACCCCTTTCCTCTATCAGCGCATCCAACCTTCTATCGGCTGCACCAACTTCCAGACGTTCTTCACCACGCCGGGGAGGGGGACCGCGAGCTTGATCTTCACGTTGAGGTGCTCCATGTTGCGTGTCCCCCTCCCTCGGCCTCGAATTTCGGCGCCGCATGGTGGACAGCATGGCAACACCCGGGTCAAGTTGGGCTCATAACCTGAGCAACCGGGGAGCCCTGCGTCAGCTGCAAGGCCCTTTTCTTGAGCCATACATCACGTTTGGCAGTAAGTTGCCAGGTGCCATGCTAATCTTCTCTGTATCCCTAAGGACCATGAAGCGCTACAGCTTCCGATTCCAACTGCAAAAGGAAAAAAGAAGGGGTACCAAAAAGTGAAGTGGAATTTCCATCACCACAGAATTAATTTGGTGTCACAACTGTCACAATCTGTTCATTGGCAGGTCCATCATGGTTCTTTTTTTTATTTATATTTGTCCACCTTCAAACAATCAGTGCTCGTGATACATGTGGGATCGCAAGGGCGATGCCATGCTATACCTGCTGGGATGTTCTTTCTGTCTAGGACCATTTAGGATCATGCATGACAGGCTCACTTCCCAACAAGCAACTTCAAGTCGCACAGTTTAAGCCTAGCGCCTTCTGCACAGCATGGAGACACCAAGAAATTTCACATAATGTGGCGCTAAACCTGAACGAAGGAGAAGAAAGAATGTAGTTGCGTGGGGCCAGCCACATCAGCGGCACGCCCGAATCCATACTTTATGATTAGCCTATACCCGTTTGAGGCCAAAACCTTGAAACTTCTTGATATTGGAGGGGTGTGTGACACTCATGTCCTGACTGCACGCAACGAAGCTGTGGGCGTGAATCCGAAGGTTTCCTGCACCTTTAAATAAATAAATAAACATATAGATATAACTATATATATATATATATGTAAAAAACACACACACACACATATATATATATAGAATGTAGTCTTGCTCCTGGGCATGTATAAGTTGTAGCTGGGGGGCACCTATATTTTGTCGCCGTCGCTTCAATTTTTTAATGTCTACCGTGATGTATATTCTATGTATATATATATATATTAATATATGTATATATGTATGTTTTTCTTCATTATGGTTTCATCTTTCCATTTGTTTGGTGTTGTTGTTTTGCACGTCTGATGCATTCCAGCGTCCCAAGTCGAAACGTCGGTCTGAGCAAAAGTGTGTGTGTGCGGATGACATGGCACTGTCCAATATGAAGTGTCCAAAATTAAGACCTTCTGGCAGCTATTTCACCTGAACAATTGCACTCTGAGGGCCTCAAAGCCGCTAAGAGCTTCATGCAAAGAAGGCATCGCAGGCTTTGGCGGCGCCTGGCTGCAAACAGGGATGTCCAAAACCCGAAAACCATGCCCATTGCGCAAGTGTCAAATTATCAATAAAAGGACCTTCATGCGCATCAAAAAATCTGCACGTTGTTGGAAACTTGCTCTGGCGCTGCCGCCAACACGGAATCCCATGCGCCCCACACAGCACTGCGTCTGCCCTGTAACGTACACCAAGCCCGCCTCAACATTGTTTTCAATCTCGCAAGCCGCTTCAAGTAAGGCCATGGGGTCCTAAGTTTCAAAGGTGGGGCTGCGGCAGTCTTGAGAATGGCAGAATCGTTGAGGCTGGCCATTGCCCCAAAAGCTGGCTGGGACATCCTTCTTGATTTGGAAGCTCAAGGTCACGAAAACGAAGATTGGATACCCCGCAGATTCATTCTCAGCTGGTTTGTATTCAAGCAATCGACAGCAAACGGTTGAGCTACTATAGTTGAATACTGCCTTTCTGTTGAGGATACGCATCACGAACTGGGTGATTCTTCATCCATCTGGGAAAATCATTGAACTAAACGGAAGAGTTTCCAGCAAGCCAAGTTGGATTCACAGCTAAATTTGATGTTCCCAGCACTTGGCCCTCTATTATACGACGACCCTCGAACGACCCACGCTGCTCCAAGGGGCAACTCCAGCCTTGGCTAAGCGGGATCCAACCGCCGGGGAGAGACCTGTGGCACAGGCTTGGACACCTCGAAAGGTTGGTTAAAGATTTGTTTGCTTCAGGAATCTTGGAAAACATGCAACAAAATAGCGCCATAGAGCTTGAAAGTATTTAGGTCCTTCCGTTTTCGAGTTGGAGAACAGTGGAGCCAGGTGCAGTCGAAAGACTTCGGGCTGGGCTCTTTCGAGAGCGATCCTGGAGGTTGTCTGTTGAAAATGGGATACACATGGGATCTGAATCAGACCGTAGCTGGTTTCAGCCCTGAAACGGGGGATCTCATGGAAATTTGACCAGCTAGAACTGGCTTGTTGACGAGCCAGAATCAAGATTTGACCAGAAAATAGGATCTCAAGAGTTCACTGGTGGGGACCCCTATTGATAAACCAGGGGTTAGTCACCTCATCCACAACTGCTGAATGTAGTGTGGTGTGGTGTGGTGTAGTTGTAGATGTAGCTGTAGTTGTAGTGTAGTGTAGATGGTGGTTGTAGTAGTTGTAGTTGTAGTTGCAATTGTAGTGTTGTTGAAGTTGGAAGTTGTAGATGTCGTTGTGCTTGTAGCTGTAGCCATAGTGTAGTTGAAGTGGAATTTGTAGTCGTTGTAGTTGTAGCTGTAGCTGTAGTGGTAGCTGAAGTTGTAGTTGCAGTTCAAGTTGAAGTTGAAGTTGTAGTGTAGCGGTAGTGGTAGGGGTAGTGGTAGTTGTAGTTGTAGTATAGTGGTAGTGGTAGTGGTAGTGGTAGTTGCAGTGTAGTTGAAGTTGAAGTTGTAGTGCTAGCTGTAGTGTAGTTGTAGTTGTAGTTGCAATCGTAGCTTAACTGAAATTGTAGCTGCAGTTCAAGTTGAAGTTGTAGTTGTAGTGATAGTTGTAGTGTAGCGTAGTGTAGTTGTAGTTGTCTATCTATCTGCAAGCTTGAAACGAAGCTATTCTGCAAGACTTCCTGCAAAAATGGAAAGTTGAATGCAGAGCTGTCGGCCTCGTACCACTGCGTTTTGCAATTTTTTCATTCCATATGTCTAAAGTACTGCGCCGACCATGAAAAAGTGAGGTTAGGTTATACGAAGTGCTGCACCTGCCATGCAAAATTATCTTAGCAAACCCGGACCTGACTCCTGTGTCTCTTGTACTGCGGCGAAATATATCTTCGCAGATCCTCTTCAAATGTCCAACGCATGCCAGCGTTTTTGAAACTGCTACAAAACCCTCACATATTGCTCACTTTTGGGAGGTGCAAAATCCCTTGCGCTTGCCACGCAAAACCATATCCGGACTTCAAAAAGTGGTCCGAAACCCTTCGACATGTGCTTCGCGCCACAACGGCATGCAATTTTTCTCGAATGCGTAGCAAGGGTTCCCGTTTCACTCTGGGGGTCTGGGGGTTAAGGGTGTGTTGCCCAACCGTTCGCAACCGTCCGCAACCGTCCGGAAGTGTCCGTGTGAAGGCCGTATGGCCGTGCCTATGGCGAGTTCTGCAACAGGGGTCACTTTTGGAAGTTTTGAGCGTCGCGTAGCTTGTTTCGCGTGGCAGGCGTGGCACTTCGTGGCACTTCGTGACATTCAGACGTGTTTTGTAACGTGTCGAAAGTCGTTTTGTGTGGCAGGCGCAATGGCCATGTTTTCAGAAGATGCGCTGCAGTTTTCGTGGCAGGCGCAACACTTTGGACGTGTCCATCGTCATTTTGCGTGGCCGGCGCAGCACTTTAGACGTGCGGTGTTGCGTGTTTTTTGCGAATCGCATTGTCAGGGCTGCGTCAAGTGGCGACAACGTGCAAATTCCGTGGCAGGCATGGCATTTTGTGAGACATGCTGAAAACTTGACGGACGCCTCGCACGAAACATCGCTTTTGATGTAGTCAATTTTGAAGTTCATAAGAAAACTCGTAGGAAAACGTCGATTTCGAAGCTGCAACGTGAGAAAATTGGGGGATGTCTCGCACGAAATGCTCGTTTTGATGCTCCAACATGTATCGTCTCGAGTCTCTGGTTTTCCTGTGGCCTCGCCGTGTCTATGGAGGAAGCTGCAAAACCTATCCTGTTTCAAGGTGCCAAAACAAGTTGTAACGTGGTTTTGCGTGGCAGGCGTGGCACTTTGTGACATTCAAACCTGTTTGATAACATGTCGAAAGTCGTTTTGTGTGGCATGCACAATACTTTTGCGTCCTTTTCAGAAGATGAGTTGCAGTTTTCCAGCACTTCAGACGTGTCGCATTGCCTGCTCTTCACTGCACACTCCACACTCCACACTTTACACTCCATACTCTACACTTTGCACACCACACCTTACATTCCACACTATACACTCTACTCTCCACACTTTACACTCTACACTTTAGATCCTACACTCCACACTCCACACTCCATACAATACACTCCACACTCTACACTTTACACTCTACACTTTACAGTGCGCACTCCACACTTTACACTCCACACTTTACACTTTAAACTCTACACTCTACACTCCACAATTTACACTCCACACTTTACACTCCACACCTAACACTTGACACTTTACACTCCACACTCTACACCCCACACTCTACACACGACACTCCCCACTCCCCACTTTACACTCCACACTTTACCCTCACACTTTACACTTTAAACTCCTCACTCCACACTCTACACTTTACACTCCACACTTTAGACTCCACACTTTACACTCCACACTCTACACTTTACACTCCTCACTCCACACTTTACACTGCACACTCCACACTTTACACTCCACACTCTACACTCCACACTTTACACTCCTCACTTTTCACTCCACACTTTACACTCTACACTCCACACTTTGCACTCCACCCTCTTCCGCATTCCACAGTCTGCAGTGCACTGGTACAGTAACAGGGAAACATGTAGACTGTTCAAATCACTTGCTTCACAAAAGTGTTCTACATGACTGCATTCGGGTTCGTGGGCTGCATCTTGTTCATTTCTCATCTGGCCAGATGGCTCCGCACCCGCCGCTTTAGCGAGCCTACTTTTCAACCCTTTGGAGCCACAAAACATTCGAAAAACACAGTGATCCGCGACTTTTCTGACTCTTTCTCGTCTCTGATCTTCTTCCTTCACACTTTCTCTTCTCTGATTCTTCCCACATCTGCTTTTTCATCTGTCCATTTTGTCGGAAGTTTCACTTCTCAACTTTCTTCGATAATCAAAGGAAGTTTAGGGGGAGAAACTTCCGTGTTACGGACTTTTAGAATGTCAGGGAAAGAGTTAGTCAAAGAAACAGTTAGTCAAAGAAACAGTTAGTCAAAGAAAGAGTTAGTCAAAGAAAGAGTTAGTCAAAGAAACAGTTAGTCAAAGAAAGAGTTAGTCAAAGAAAGAGTTAGTCAAAGAAAGAGTTAGTCAAAGAAACAGTTAGTCAAGGAAAGAGTTAGTCAAAGAAAGAGTTAGTCAAAGAAAGAGTTAGTCAAAGAAAGAGTTAGTCAAAGAAACAGTAAGTCAAAGAAAGAGTTAGTCAAAGAAACAGTTAGTCAAAGAAAGAGTTAGTCAAAGAAAGAGTTAGTCAAAGAAAGAGTTCGTCAAAGAAAGAGTTAGTCAAAGAAAGAGTTAGTCAAAGAAAGAGTTAGTCAAAGAAAGAGTTAGTCAAAGAAAGAGTTAGTCAAAGAAACAGTTAGTCAAAGAAAGAGTTAGTCAAGGAAAGAGTTAGTCAAAGAAAGAGTTAGTCAAAGAAACAGTTAGTCAAAGAAACAGTTAGTCAAAGAAACAGTTAGTCAAAGAAAGAGTTAGTCAAAGAAACAGTTAGTCAAAGAAACAGTTAGTCAAAGAAAGAGTTAGTAAAAGAACGAGTCAGTCAAAGCAACAGTTAGTCAAAGAAACAGTTAGTTAAAGAAAGAGTTAGTCAAAGAAAGAGTTAGTCAAAGAAACAGTTAGTCAAAGAAAGAGTTAGTCAAAGAAACAGTTAGTCAAAGAAACAGTTAGTCAAAGAAAGAGTTAGTCAAAGAAAGAGTTAGTCAAAGAAACAGTTAGTCAAAGAAAGAGTTAGTCAAAGAAAGAGTTAGTCAAAGAAACAGTTAGTCAAAGAAAGAGTTAGTCAAAGAAAGAGTTAGTCAAAGAAATAGTTAGTCAAAGAAACAGTTAGTCAAAGAAACAGTTAGTCAAAGAAACAGTTAGTTAAAGAAAGAGGTAGTCAAAGAAAGAGTTAGTGAGGGAAAGAGTTGGTGAGGGAAAGAGTTAGTCAAAGAAAGAGTGAGTGAGGGAAAGAGTTAGTCAGGGCATTGTGATTTGCAACTGTAGGATCGTTCCCGCAATGTAAATGGGATTGCAAGTGGTGCTGGTGGAGGAGTTGCCGATGGAGTTTTGGAGGAAGTCTCGCACGAAATGCGTTTTTGAGAGATAGCAGATGCACGAACCCCTATGTTTTTCCATACAAAGTGCGTCCCCGAACCTCGATGATCTACCTCTGCGGTGCGACGGGTGCGAGACGGTCTCGTGTGTGGTCGGATCATGGGCGGATCATGGTCGGATCGGTTCCGCATTGTAAATGGGGTTTCAACTGTGTTTCGTCTATGTGCGGTCGACAGAATTCCATTGTGATTTGCAACTGTAGGATCGTTCCCGAAATGGTAAATGGGATTGCAAGTGGTGCTGGTGGATGAGTTTCTGATGGAATTCCATTGTGATTTGCAACTCTAGGATCGTTCCCTCACTGTAAATGGGATTGCAAGTGGTGCTGGTGGATGAGTTGCCGATGGAGTTTTGAAGGAAGTCTCGCACGAAATGCGTTTTTGAGAGATAGCAGATGCACGAAACCCTATGTTTTTGCATACAAAGTGTGTCCACGAACGTCGATGATCTACCTCTGCTGTGCGACGGGTGCGAGACGGTCTCGTGTGTGGTCGGATCATGTTCGGATCATGGGCGGATATGGTCGGATCGGTTCCGCATTGTAAATGGGGTGTCAGCTGTTTTTCGTGCATGTGTGGTCGACAGAATTCCATTGTGATTTGCAACTGTAGGATCGTTCCCGCATTGTAAATGGGGTTGCAAGTGGTGCTGGTGGATGAGTTGCTGATGGAATTGCATTGTGATTTGCAACTCTAGGATCGTTCCCTCAATGTAAATGGGATTGCAAGTGTTGCTGGTGGATGAGTTGCCAATGGAATTCCATTGTGCTTTGCAACTGTAGGATCGTTCCCGCAATGTAAATGGCTGTGTCAAGGTTGCTTCGTGCTGTGGCTGCATTGG